TTTGCTAAATTCCCAACCACAGTTCCTTCGTTGACTTCCTCAGAGATCGAGTATCTGAATTGCGCTGAGGCCATACTCCACAAAAGCACAGCGACCATGCACCGGGTCATACATCTTAAACCCATCCGTCTCTCCAGTCTTCTTTGTCCCATTGTTATTTCCCTTGCTACCAGTACTCATTCACAAGTATACAACTGACTAGAAATGGTCGTACTACGTCCATGCGAAAAATGATTCACTCGCTGACAACGACTGGCATGACAACAAATTTAGCGTTTCGAACGGCAGCTGGGAGCTCGGCGGATGCGTTAAAGACAAACGTTCCAAGCAATCAGAAAGCTGAAGCAACACGCAGTGACGACAAGCGTAAGGGATGCCGACTCCCTCTGTAATACTGACACCGTGCGTCCAGTATTCTTGCCGCAATAAACGATGGACACGTTAACGCAGCGGTGCTCACGGTCGTTTGAATACTATATATTTTTTTCATTTCCTCAAAAAGCAACCATATATACACAGGGTAACGGGGATATATATGAAGAATGACAAACTGTTTTGGTTTTTCGATCAGAAAGAAAAACAACAGTTCAAAACGTTGGAAAGGAGACTAATCCGAAATAAAACGAAACCATAACAGAGGGGACCCCAGTGGGAGGGGATAGCCCCTTTTCACTTAATTTGATCAGGTAGATACCTTTACGTTGTTTAACGGGATAAATGACAGTTGAATTGAATGTATAAGTGTACAAATGATGCAACACGAAAGCAAACAAACTCAGCACCATGGACAGCTATTTTCTCTGTCATCGTTAAAGGAGAATTGTTTACTGTTGTTTGTTTTTTTGGGGGTGTCAATGAACAACCACCACTGGCCAATGACTTGTACCACTTTGATAAACCCTTTTCAAAAAATATTTGGTTGCAAAAGCATGAATTAATTATACATTATGATGTGCAATTCAACAACTGAAGCTTTTGAATGCACGTATAGCCTTCATCAATATGTATCTAAGTTAGCAAAGGCTACCAGTAACATCAATTAAATGGGATGGAGTTGGATGTTGGAACATTTTTTTTTCAAAATTTAAGGTATGACACTAGACCTCTTAACAAACAATGACTTCTCAAACATCCTTACCTCCTCAGATGTTCTCCTCCTGTCAGGGAGCACCAGTGTATTAGCATGGCTGCCAGGTACTATAGTAGATCCTAT